TGTGTGTGTATTAGATACTATTGGTTAATTGTGTTGGTCAGATATTTTATATTCTTGCTTGATATTCTATCCAAGAGTTCTGTCAATTGCTGAGAGAAAGGTGTTGAAATCCACAAATACAATTGTGTGTGTGTCTCTTTCTCCTTTCTATTCTGTAAGTTTTTATTTCACAAGCTGCCCTTTGGGCATGTCCCCAGCATTCTGTGAACATGTCCAAGTCGTCCTATATTTTATGGAATCAACCTTTTTCCAAAAAGCCTTGGAGGACCTGGGCACTGGTTGTGCTTGTTGCTTTCATGCCCTTTCAGTGGTCAGAGAGCTAAGATGTGAGTGTTCATGCATACATGTGTGTCTATGTGTGTATGTGTATCTTGGGTACAGATTTTTAATACTGATTTAGTTCCTTTAATGATTACAGACATTCACATTTTCTAGTGTTTTGTAGTCAGTTTTGGTAGGTCATATTATTTTAACAGGTGTCCCTTTTTTTTTAAGCATCAATATACAATCTACGCTGGTTTCAATTGTACATCACAGTGGTTCAACAGTTACCCACATTGTCAAGTCCTCACCTCCTCTAGTGTGGCGTTACTGTCTATCAATGTAGAAAGATGTTGCAAAATCTTTGCAGTAAGTCATTTATGTGGGGCATTGCTCACATTATCTAAATCTTCCAGTTAAATGTTGTGAAATTCTATTAGCATTTGCTTATGATTTTTTGCAACATTTTTATATCTATCATTATGACCTCCTTTTGATTTCTGAAGTTATTTATACTTTCTTTTTTCTTGATCCATGTTATTGGATTATTTCCTCTTTGATTCATCTTTGTGAATAACCAGCTTTGGGTCTCAGTGTGTGTATCTGTTTTCTGTGCCATTAATTTCTGCTCAATTCACTTCCCATCCTTTTACTCTCATTAGGTTTACTCTTTTCATTTTTATACTTTCTAGGGTTAGACTTTTTTTTCTAATAGAACAAAGTTCAGCTTTCCCTACAAAGCACACAAATCTTAAGTGCAAGTTTGATGGATTTGTACACATGTGTAACTGCTTCCCAGATCAAGATGTGGACTATTTCCAGTGCTCCGCAAGGTACCTCCTGCCCCCACTTCCTCAGCGTGTTTCCCCTTTTCCAAGAAGCCATTCTTATCATAGATTACATACTATAGTTACTGATGGCCTCTAATTTAATTTAGTGGCTTACATGTATGTGATTCAGATAACACAGTATTTATGGGTTTTTTTCTTTGTTAGGATTTGTTTTGTGGCCTTGAATTGACTTAATTTTTGTTACTGTTCCATGTGTGCTTAATCTCTTGGCTGTAGGATTTTTTACATGTCCATTAGCTCAGGCTTATTGATGGTATCCAAATCTATTTTGGCTGATTATATATTGATTGTTGAAGAGATGTGTTGTAATTTCTCACTATGGATGTTGATGTATCTGTTTTTCTTTGATATTCTCTACTTTTAGCTTTATCTGTCTTGAAGTCATGTTGTTAGGGGCATAAGCCCTTATAATTATTATATCTTCCCAGTACAGGGAACCTTTTTATCAGTATGTAATGATCCTTTTTAACTGTAGTAGTTGTTCATTTTTCTTAAAGTCTATTTCTTTTCTAGTAGTAGTTTTAAAATGGTGTTAAGAAAAGAGGCTTAATAGCCAAATAACTAGAATTTGAATCCAAGTTTGGCCTTATACCAGTCTCTTAAGCTCTGTCCCCTGTGTCCCACATCAGGGAAAGGGGTGATTGGGCAACCCCTCCCCATCTTGTTGGGAAAGGTTAAAGTGCAGTGAGCAAGAAACTGTTTTTATTATTATGTAATATATTTGTGCTAGCTGCCTTTTGATATATCTTTTTGCACTCTTTTAATAAAGTCTTCAAGTTGATTTTTAGCACCTTACTTTATGCTGTTTACCTAAGATTTCATTTGCTTATTTTTAATCTCTTCCTGACTTATATGAATGAAATTAACCAGCTTTTCTTTAGTCTCTTTTTTACCTATTCTTGTTCAGAAATTATATATATATCTATACTTTCAGTGCCTGGTCTTAACATTTTTTAAAGGGTCTAATTGATTTAACTTCAATCTATATGAAGATAGTGCCTCTAACTTCCTTCTGAATAATATAATAACCTTAAATTGCTTTAGCTCCAGTAAGGCCCAGCCTCTGACTTACATGTAATTGTTGTCCAGTATTTTAGTTTTACTTTGTTTTTATACTTCTGAAATGAATACCTTGTTTGTGAAGTCAGTATTTATTTAGATTTCCCAGTTGCTTATCCGTTTCTTTCTTATTCTTTCTTACTGCATCCCACTTCTTTCTGTGTTCAGGTTTTTCATTTCTCAAATACATTCTTCAGGAGCTCTTTCAGATGAGGCTGTGTCAGTGCCACACTTCTGGTCTCTGTATGAAAAGTCTGTTTTTCCCTCTAATCCTGGGTGCTAGTTTCGCTGGGTATACATATGTCAGTTGGCAGTTACTTTTTCTCAAGACACTTTGACGATGTTATTTTATTCTTTCTGCCCTCTTCCTTGCTCTGAACTGTCATATGCCTTTCCTTGGTTTGTGGAAGTATTAAAAATTTCAGAACTTCCTATCTTCCTGCTCCACAAACAGACTCTAAGCGCCCTGCCCAGGTGGCCAGGGATACCTGTGTGATGAGGTTGGGTTCTGCCTGCCGTAGGTTCCCCTTCCTGCTCTCACTGGACTCTGACCTGGGAACATCCAAATGCTCCAGGGAAATCAGCCTCAAGCCTTTGCTAGTCATGCCATACTGACACCCTGAAAAAGCACTCGCTGCGGGTCCTCACGCTCGACCTCCACTTGGCTGAGCCACAGCCTTGGTTCTCTTCCCTCGTGACCCCCACCGGCATGTGGTTCTGTCTCTCTAGGACCTGTAATAAGCTGTTTTCCTGTGTCCTCTCCTGTGGCCACACCTAACAGACCATCGTCTAGAAGAACATAACAGCCGCAGGCAATCTTTGTCTTGTTGCTTTTCTCTCTGTTGATACACTGAGGTTTCATCACATTGTGTCTACCTATTGATTTGTTTTTATTTGTCCTTCCAGGACACTTGAGGATTTATATGTTTGATTAATTATGGGAAAACCTCAGCCATTATCTCTTTTTTAAATAGCACTGAGAGATAATTCATATACCTTACAATTCACCCTTTCAAAGTGTACCATTCAATGCTTTTTAGTATATTCACAGATAGGTGCAACCATACCATTATTCCCTGTAAATATGTATCTTACCTGAATCAGCTTCAGATTGATTGTAGGTTAATTTCAGTGATAAGTGGAAATGTTACTTCTATGTGACTCTCTTCCCGTTCTCTCTCTGTGGTATCATCATTGCACACCTTAAATCTCTCATTGTTAAGACCCCTGTGCCACCTTGTAATTACACTACTCTCTGCAGTCATTCCCTGAGCCCAGTACAGCTTTGCTTTCACACACCTCTGTGCCATTATTGGCACATATTTCATACATACATTGTATTCTTATATGTTATGGGTCCAAACACTACATTATATACATATTGTACAATTACACGGCTGCTTTTTGAATAGCTAAGAGAATAAAGGAGGGAAAAAAAGCTCATTTATATATTGTCTTTTATAATTATGTAATTACTTGTTCTGGTGCTTTTTGATTGTGTGTGTGTAGGTTCGGATTACCCTCTGAGAGTCACTCGCTTTTAGCAATAACAGTTCCCTCTGATATTTCTTGTAAGTTGAGACTGAAAGAAACACATTCTCTCAGTTTTTGTGTATCTGGGAAAATCTTTATTTTGCCTTTTTTTGAAAGATAGCTTTGCTGGATATAGGATTCCTGGGTGACAGTTTCCTGTGAACACTTTGGCATCGCCGTGCTGCGTCTGCTGCTCCTCTTTTCAGGGCTCTCGGATGAGTAGTGAGCCTTTCTTTCACTTGCTATTTTTAAGATTTTTACCTTGTATTTGATTTCTCCGCATTTTTACTAAGATGTGTGTATCTGGTATGTTTAGGCTCTTTCCAGTTATTGTACTAGGAAATTGTCAAGCTTCCTAGATCTGTCGGTTTTTGTTTTCCAATGGATTTAGGATCTTTTCAGCCACTGTTTCTTCAGACGCTGTTTCTGCTCCTCTCTCTTGATGCTCCCACTTCACGTGTGTCGGTGCACTTGGTGGTGTCTACATTTCTCCAAGGGCTCTGCTCATTTTTTCTACATTTTTTTTCTCTCTCTTCTAGCAGAGAACAATTTTATGGGTGACTAGATCTGACTCCAGTCTTAAGTGAGGTACAGACCCAATGGCTGTGGAATTTCTGGAGTTTTTCTAGATATGCCTACTCTGCTTAGAGACTGGAACCAGCTTCCTTCTCATGTCCCTGTACTGTGCTGAGTGTGTGTCCCTTTGGAGACCTGCCCCGCCTCTCCCCTCATCTGTTCCCTCTGGCTTCTGTCACGTCTGCCTACCAGCTCTTGAGCTCTGAGCTGCCTGTTTGGCCGTGGCCATTTCTCTGCCTCTAGCCCCAGGTCAGCTCTGCACACAGTCTGCTGAGTGTGTCTTAGGTCCAGTGACTGTCTTCCCAAGCAGAACCAGCAGCTTCTTGGGAGAGTCACTTGAGACACATTCTGATTTTAAAATGGTTGATACGTGTGGCAGCCGCATCTTGAAATTGAAGAAGTTTCCTGAGTAAACTGCTCACACACACACTTGTGCACAGACTTTGCCCTGGAATCTCGCACTTTTCTGTCCTCACTGTCCAGGCTTATGGCTAAGTGTGCCTTGGCCCGGCATGCTGTGTCCAGCAGGGTGCCCGGACTTTCTCAGGGGGCCATGCTCCGTGGCAGTGAGGCAGACCCACAGCAGTCCAGTGCCAGGAGGGCTCCCAGGTCGATCGTGCCAGCCCCTCTGTTGTCATGTTCACTGCCCAGGCCCAGGAGGGGAGAGTCCAGGCCCCTGCTGGTAACACATACTCATGTGCATGTGTGTCCCTCTGGCAGGTCAAACATGTGTGGACATCAAGGATAACGTGGTGGATGAGGGATTCTACTTCACCCCCAAAGGAGATGACCCGTGCCTGAGCTGCACCTGCCATGGAGGAGAGCCCGAGATGTGTGTGGCCGCACTTTGCGAGCGGCCCCAGGGCTGCCAGCAGTACCGCAAGGACCCCAAGGAGTGCTGCAAGTTCATGTGCCTGGACCCAGGTGAGGTGGGCAGTGGGTCATGAGTCAGCCTCCCCACTCAGGGCTGGAGCCTAGAAGTCCTTTCGCTTCCTGGGTGGGAGGGATGTCTGAGAACTCATGACACACCATTTAGCAGTGACGGCAGCGTTTGCTCACAGCTGTCTTACAGGCTTTGGTGGCCAACTACTCTAGCAGGCATGTGTGTCTCACACCACCTGGCCTCCTCTCACCTTGCACGCTGGCTCATTTCAGCTCTTGGGAAACAGCTGTCATGCACCAGTGAGCATGAACTTGAGTGTGGCTGTATGTCCACAGATCAGCTGTGACCGACGTACCGCAGACCTGTCATTCCTCTCCATGTAAGGCTTAGACTTCCACCTTATGTCCCTGTTCGATCTCTTCCTGTTTTCTGACTGTGGTGATTTGAAGGGTAATGACAGTTTTCATTGTTTATAAGTCATCAATTTTTACTGTTGGAATCTTTAAGAAAACGATTAAATATTACCATCAGTTTCGAGGTAAAACTCCTCCCAACTAGCTGGTGCTTGTGGGTAGACACCATGCAAGCATGCGGTCTCTAGATGAGCCTGTTTCTTCCCCTTCCAAGAAAAAAGCATAGCGGTGGGATCCTGCCTGTCAGTGCACATCCAACTCGTAGCCTCTGGATTGTTCTCCACACCAGGGCAATTGGCATCTCTGTATGAATTCATGGTCTCAGAAATGTGAATGAGAAGCATGTGTTTGTTTCTTGGTTGGCTGCCACAGTGTGGGAGTGACACAGGAGAGACTGTGGAAGCCCCAGGGCCCCAGTGGAGGAGAGGCCGATCGCCTAGTACCAGTGGGGAGGGAGCGGGAGCCAGCATGTGAAGGCACAGAAGTGAGAGCAGCTCCTGAGTAGAGAGTTGTCAGTGTCCCTGTCAGGGCTGTCAAACGCCCAGCAGACGTGGGCAGCCTGGCATGTGTCCCACACACGTGCAGTCAGCTGTGGAGCATGCTGAGGAGGCAGTCAGCGGATGTGGACCTGGGTGCAGATATGCTCAAGCCTCCCTAACTCACCGAGTATTGTGCAGGTCACATTCCTACAGGGTTCTGGCAGGCACTGATAGGGCGCTTACCAGGTCTCCAGTGCCCCAGCCACATCCCTCCGAGCCTGAAGCTCATCTACCTTCCATGGGAGTCAAGTGCTGGCTTTCACAAGCCACGTCACCCAGGTACCTGGTTCCAGTCCTCAGAAGTCGGCCAGTGCTGCCTTGCCTCACTGTCCGGGCTTCCTAAGACCGACCAGACACATACAAGGCCTGTGGAGCCCCCCAGCCTGCAGACTTCTCAGAGGACAGGCCTTCACGGCGTCTGGGTGGGACCAGAGCTGTCACGTTCCATTCTCCTCCGCAGCCTGAGCCTTACCCTGCCCCCCGCCCCCCGTGACCTTGCTTCCACTGGCCCCTGACTGCTTCCCAGGCAGAGCATCTTCACCTGGGAAGTTTCCACACTGCAGCAATAACAGGGGCACTGCCAAGATAGAGACACTGGAAAGTGTCCCCTTTACGAGGCAAGGCTGTCCTCTCTCACCGTCCTGTTCAGGATTGTACAGGAGGTCAAGGGCATTGCCAGAAAATGAAAGGCAGCCAGACCAGAGGGAAGAAATGAAATTATCTCCCTTTGTAGGCAACATGAGTGCATAGAAATTCTCAGAAGATCTACAGGAAGGTTACTAGAGCTAATAAGTGTGTTTAGCAAGGCCTCCAGATGTAAGGTCAATATACAAAAATCAATTGTGTTTATATATGCTACCTGTGACCAGTTGGCAATTGAAAATTTTAAGAAAAGTACCATTTATAGTAACACCAAAAAGCATGAAATACTTAGGTATAAATCTCACAAAATAAGTGTACAATCTGTATGTTACTACAAAGCATAAAATACTAATGAAAGAAATCAAAGGCATAAATAAAAGGTGATACATATACCATGTTCATGGATTAGAAGACTCAATGTTAGTAGGAAGTTAATTCTTCCCAAATTATCTATAGATTCAATGTGGTCACAACCAAAATTCCAGCAGACTTTTTTCAGACATTGACAAGCTGATTCTTAAATATATATATGTGGAAAGACAAAGGAATTAGAATAGTCAAAACAGCTTTTATAAAGAATAAAGTTAAAGGATTCATGATTTAAAACTTACTATATAGTCATAGTAATCAAAACATTGTGGTTTTAGCAAAAGCAGGGACACATAGATCAGAATAGTGCCTAGAAATAGTCCCATATTTATATGGTCAACAGAGAACTTGACAGAGGTACAAAGACAATTCAGTGGAGAAAGGAAAGTTTCAACAAATGGTGCTGGAACAATTAGACGTGCACATACCAAAGTAATATGAACCTTACACTACATGCCGTATTATATATAAAAATTACTCAAAGTGGTCATAGTAACTGTCAAACCTTAAATTACAAAACATCTAGAAGAAAATATATATTCTAAAAACAATCAAGTCTTTTTAAAGAAAAAAGAACATCTTTGTGATCTTGAGATAGACATTTTTAGAGATGCAATCAAAAGCATAATCTATGAGAAAAATTGGTAAATTAGACGTCATCAAAATGGAGAACCTCTGCCTCCTGCAAGATGCTTAAGGACACGAAAAGATAAGCTACCAACAGAGAAAAAATATTTGGAAAACACAAATCAGACAAGTCTTATATTCAGAGTATATAAAGAATTCTAACAACTCAATAATAAGAAAACAAACCATCCTAATAAAAAATGGACAAATGTTTTATTTTTGTAATTGAAATATGGTTGATAGGTAATATTATATTGGTTTGAGGTGTACAAAATAGTGATTTGGCGATTATATATACATTACTGAACGCTCACCAGGGTAAGTGTAGTTGTTGTCTGTCAACGTACAGAGAAATTACAATGTGATTGACTCTGTTTCCTTTGGAACTTTCATCAAAATGGTCAAGAGATTTAAAATGACACTTCAACAAAGAAGGTACATGATGGCAGCCAAGCCCCTGAGAAGATGCTCCACTTGGTCATTAGTGGAAACAAAATTGAGTCCACTTGGGGTACCTCACCAAATGGAGAGGCTAAAATAATACCCGACACCTCCAAGTGCCAACCGAGACTCAGAGCAGCCGCACTTTCCTCCTGTCCTGCTCTGGCGCCCGGGGCAGCCTGGGGCCGCGAGGTGGAGTGAGGTCCCCGGCTTCGTGGCATCCAGTAGCAGAGCCCACTGGGCTCCCGGGCATTGGCCTTCAGCCGTGCTGAGCGTCTGCTCCAGCTGCTCTTGACCACAGAGATTTGAAGCCAGTACCTGTAACCAAGCTCACTGAAATGGTGAGCTCCCTGTAACTGGAGCTCTTCACGCCCAGGCCGCATTGCTCCCCATGTGGGGCAGACTGAGGGTTGGGTCAGGTGGACTTCAGGGCACCTTTAGCTCCAGTAGCACCGGCCCCAGCAGGCATGTCCTCCGTCTGGGGCCCAGGCCTAGCTGGAGACCAGCAGCCTGGAAGACAGAAGACAGCCCCACCTGGTACTGCCCAGAGCCCCAGGAGACTATTCTTGGTGGTCATGTCCCTCGGACCCCCGGGCTGGCCTCTGGCTCCTAGACTGTACCGTCCTCTTTGTGTGTGACCACAGGTGGCTTGATTCTAGGAGATGCTTCCTCCTGGCAACCAGCATGGAAGAACGGACCTGGACTATGTCCTTGGGTTTATTTTAGAACTAAGAATTAGTCGCTGCAAAGGGACTGCTGCCCTAGTGTGTCCCCCTGGGGCCTCTGAGCTGAGCTGGCCATGATTCATAGACACGTCAGCAGCCCCCTGCGCTGATGGACTTCCTCCCGCAGACAGGGACGCAGTGTGCCCTGGGGACTGGACCAGGATCAGGGGCATCACAGAAGCATCTGGCTGGTGAGACGGTGGATCCTGTCCACACGTTGAGTTCCCAAGTATTGTCAGCAATATGTGAGCTTTGGGGGAAGACTCTGGCCCCATGGGAGGAGGGCACGAGTGAGCCTGGCCATCTGCATTGGTACGGAGCAGACTGGTGGCCCAGCAGGAGCAGTGGAGGGTCCTGGAGCCCAGCCTGTCACGTGGAGCCCGTGCCAGCTGTGAGGTGTTTCCTTGGGGCAAGCCGCTGGGGACCTGCCCCTGTGACTGTCACAGAGCTGGGAGTTGACAGTCCTTGCCCTTCTGCCTACAGAGTCCCCCCTTCCTGTGGCTGCAGGCCATTCCTCCCCCTGAAGCCTCCCTGGCCCCCACTCTGGGTCTGTGGGCCCGCTTCCTGGTTCTGTCACTGTGATGTGGAGCGAGTGATTGTCTCATCTAGGCGAGGGCACCGAGTGTGCACGTAGGCAGCACCTCCACTGCAGGCTCTCTCCCTTCACGCCTCATCTCATGAGGTCCGTGTGCCCCACTCTGCACTGTGTCAGTGTACAGGGCCCGTGACAGCCCCGTCCATGGGCACATCACCGCGGGGAGGAGCACGAGGCTGGGAGGTCGGCCCACCTCGGGCACTGCCTGGGCCACAGACTCCACTCCTCTGTCCCAAGGTGTCTAAGTGCCGGCCAGACACCGACCCTTGGCTCAAGCCGCGGGACACCAGGGCCTCCACCACAGAGCCGCAGTGACTGTGGCCTGGGGCCTAAAGGAGCAGGCTGAGCGTCATCTCAGGGCCTGTGTAAGCACTCACCCTGTGTGCCCTCCTCCGCACCACGTCATGAGTGCCAGTCGAGCCCTTGGAAGTGCTGGGCCCACGCTCCAATAGCTCTGGCTATCCCTACCAACAGGGAGGGTTGGGAGGGAGTGGGGCTGGGGAGGTCGGGAATTAGTACAGTGCCGACGGGGGCCACCGTGTGGGCAGGGACAGTAAACAGGGACTCACGCTGCCCCAGTCACCTGTGGGGCTCCAGCGGGCCCTGGCTTCCACACCCAAGCAGTGCAGGTGTTGGGGAGGGGCAGATCCCTGGGGGCACCTGCTGGGACTGCAGCCTCAGTCTGAGCTCAGGCCAGTCCCAGGGCCCATGGAGCCTCAGGTCTCTCTGTAGAAGCGACACTGCTGCCTTGCAGGGCAGTGGCCGAAGCCAGGGAGGTACTAGATGCTCTGACCACTGCTCAGCCCTGTTCAGCAGCCCCTCAAGCCTTGTGGCTTCTGAGACTCACACCCCAGGGATGGGGGTGGGGGGACGATAGGCTGGGCACTAGCCCCCAGGGAAGGGCTGAGGCAGGCCCTCTGGACGGGCGGGTGGCTGCATGGTTGTGGCCAGGCTGAGGCGCCTGTGGTGACAGCCACGTGGTGACAGTTGGCGAGCGTGTGTCTGAGCGCATCTTCGCACGTGTGCCCAGCACTGCTGTCCAACGGGTTGGGAGGAACGGGGCAAGTTCTCTGCTGTGGGTTAAGATGGAGCCACGGAACCATTTGCAGCTGCAGTGGCTCTCGTGAGAGGCCCCAGGCTGGCCTCCATCCCCAGGGGGGCTGCAGCTGCCTCTGGCCTGTCTGGGAAGCATGTGAGTCCACGTCCAGAAGGTATCCCGTGCTTTCACTTTCCCATTTCAATACCCCAGTCCAGACTAGGGTTTCCCCCCAACCCCCCGCTAGACACTGCGGGAGCCCCCTCCGGTTTTCCCGACCCCCCCTGCTCCTCCGCCTGCAGCCCGTGCAAGTCCTCAGAGGCGCCACTGCCCACTGCAGATGACGTTTTTTCCTCAGCTTGTCTCCCTGACACTCAGAATTGCCATGTTGTTGAAGGGCGTGTAGCCCTGCAGGGGGTTGCAGCGCCCTCCCTGTGCATGCAGAGAGCTGATCTCGATTCCTGGACAGTAGGCTTCTTGCTCACCAACAGGTCTGGGCATTTGCACACAGCCAATGTTGGGGCCTGCGGCTCTGGAAGGAAGGTGCCCCATCACCCAGCACAAGCGAGCCAGTAGCCAGGTGGCCTCAGCTCAGGGACGGGGAGCAGGCTGGGGGTGCCTGACGAGGCTGTCCTGTTGAACCAGTGTTCCTGGCCCATGGTCGCTTTTCTCCTTTGCTGTTATCGTAGTATTCTTGATTTTGAGCTGTTTTCATGTCTGCCATCTGTCCTCAGATTGTCCAGTGCAGGGACTCGGGAAGCGAGGTACCTTCTCCGTGTGGTTGCCCAGTGGTGGAGGGCCTGGCACTGAGCACCTGGGGGTCAGGGTCCCCTTTCCTGAGAGCGATGGGGTTCCTTCTCCTAACAGATGGCAACAGCCTGTTCGACTCTATGGCCAGTGGGATGCGCCTGATCGTCAGCTGCGTCTCCTCCTTCCTCATCCTGTCACTGCTGCTCTTCATGGTCCACCGGTTGCGCCAGAGGCGCCGGGAGCGCATTGAGTCCCTGATTGGAGCCAACTGTGAGTGCCCCCTGCCCCGGGCTGTGTCCGCTGGAGGGGCACGGGAAGTGGGAGGGGGCAGGGGGCAAAGGGGGTATTGATGGAGGCGGCCGCCCGGTGTGTTCCTGCCCCGTGCACCTGCCTGTGGGCTGAGCGCTCACTTGGAGCGCTGGGGGGGCTCAGGACCTGAGATCAGGCCACGGATGTGTGACAGGAAGGGTGAAGCCATGGCGCCAGCTGCCCCAGGCTCCCCTGTGCTTGCTCTGATGTTCCAAGCCAAAAAGCAGGACAGGCTGCCACGCGTTCAGATGGTGACTTTTCTCATGGTGTGGCCGTGAGCATGGGCCATCTGCCAGGAGGCCACCTGCCAGAGGAGCAGCAACTCAGAGTGTGGCTCACCCTCCTCAGCCCAGGTCCTTGGCAGCAGCCCATACCCCTGGCGCGGCTGGAGGAGTACCCCTGGTCTCCCAGAGCAGCCAGGGTCCCCAGGCCCAGGCCCTTGTGGGAGGACGGGCCAGGTGCAGATTGGCTATGGAGGGTTCAGCGTCAGGGTGCTGAGAGTGCTGGGGGCCACACTGGCTGCATTTGGGGCCCCAGGTCACTGTGAGCCCACCAGGTTCTTCCCCAGACCCTCAGTTCTCACACACTCCAGGGTAGGCAGATCTCCAAGGCCATCATGGGTTTCACACCCAGAAACATGTTAGAGCTGGAGGGGGGTGGTGAGGGCACACTGGGCTGACCCAAGACCAGATGGTGGGTGAGGGGCAAGGGTGCACTGAAGGAGGGGCCTGGGTGGGAGGTCTGGGGCTCTCCGGTAGGCAGCTGGGCCCAGGAGTATGACACTCGAGATGTCTGGGGCCCTGGGCCTGGGGGACAGGCCCAGCCTCGGGAAGCGTTGGCTCTGAGCTGAGCGGTGTGGCCCCTGGTGACATGGCGACATGGCTCTGTCGCCATGTCTCCCTTGGATTGCTCAGTGCACCACTTCAACCTTGGCCGGAGGATCCCTGGCTTTGATTACGGCCCAGATGGGTTCGGCACGGGCCTCACGCCACTGCACCTCTCTGATGATGGAGAGGGAGGCACTTTCCACTTCCATGACCCCCCACCTCCCTACACTGCGTACAAGTACCCGGACATCGACCAGCCTGATGACCCGCCGCCGCCCTACGAGGCCTCCGTCAACCCGGACAGCATGTTCTACGACCCCGCAGGTGCTGCTTCCCACCCGCGCCCAGGGAGAGGGGGCGGCCGGCAGCACCCGTGGGCCTGTGGGGCCCGCAGCCCAGGGGTCCTCCCTTCCCCCAGCACTGACCTCCACTTCTCCCCTGAAGGTTTCTGAGGGTGGGCAGGCTCTTCCTGGGCAGCTCATGCAGGCGACTGCTGGTGGCGGCCACCTGCCCCGTGCCGCCCTCCTGTGAACCCCTGCTAGCGGGCAGCACTTGGAGAGCCCTCAGCCAGGCTCTGGACAGCTGGGGGGCCAGGTGCCGCGTGCCCAGAGCCAGCAGCTGGGCTGCAGATGCATGTGACACCATGCAGAGAAGCACTGTGGCACTCCCCCGAGCCTGGGGCAGCTCCAGCGTGGGAAGGAAGCACCAGTTCCTTCTGTTCTGTGACGCTGGGCTCATCACTTGGCTCTGTTGTCCATGTGACACTGGAAAGCCACCCTCCCAGGCAGCGATGCACGGAAGTGCCGGGTCCTCGTGCATTTTCTGGGTGTTCCTATTCCATCGCCCCGTGCATCCCACCCTCTCACACACCCTGCAGCAGGCTCACGGGCAGTGCCCAGATATGGCAGCAGAACGGGTGTTGTGAGGCTGCACACTGTGTTCTTGGTCCTGTTTGCTCCTTGGTCAGCCAGCAGACCACACCTGTGGTCTGCGTGGGAAGGAGAGGCTTGGATTTGACCCCTGCCCTTGAGACACAGGCTGTCAAGGGTGCCAGGGTAAGACAAGCTTCATGCAGGGCAGCAGGTCCCAGACGCCGGCAGGCGCCAGGCTACAGGGGAGCAGTTGGCCCCTTGGCAGGGCAGCAGGACTGCTGGGGCTGCAGGGCGAGGGCCAGGGGCAGGCACATTCTGGGCCCTGAGCCCAAGCCTTTGGGGGAAGCCCGGTAATGAGGAGCAGGCCCACGGGACGAGCAGGCCCCATAAAGCCCCCCTCAGGCCAGAACTTGTTGCAGACTCCTTCGAGGTGTCCCTTCGGGGCCACCTGCTTGGTGTGGTTTCCTGCACCCCAGTCCCCATAATTTCAGCAACAGTGCCTGGCCTGGGGGCTGCACACACTCCTCCAGGCGCCCACCCCCTGCCCGGCGACTCCCTGATCTTACTCAAGCCCTGCTCCGACCCCCGCCGAGTCCAGAGGGTCTCCCGTCCCCTTTCCTTGTGCTGCTGTCAGCATGCCCTCACCGCGCCATGGCTTGCTCGCTCTGCCCGCCCCGTGGCGCAGGGAAGGGGTGAGCCCGGCCTCCCCTGCCCTGCCATCAGGGGGAGCATCCCCCCAACCAGGCCCACCACCCTGCTCACAGCCCTTTTATCTCCTGCAGATGATGATGCCTTTGAGCCGGCAGAGGCCAGCCCGCCGCCCCCGGGCGCTGGCGGCGGAGAAGGCGCCCTGCCCCGGCTCCCGGAGCAGCCTGTGCCCACGGCGGGGGCCCCTCTGGCAGACCTGGAAGATTCAGCTGACAGCAGCAGTGCCCTGCTCGTGCCCCCGGACCCTGCCCAGGGCGGGAGCACCCCAGCCACAGAGGCACTGCCAGGGGTTGGCCGCCACAGCCGTGGTTCCCTCAATACTGTGGTGTAGGGAACTGCCCGGCCCACAGCCGTGATGTGCAGGGAGCACCCATTTGCTGTCAAGGAGACACTGATCCCCATGGGAGCCTTGCAGGGCCCCTGAGTGAGCCGGGCGAGCTGGACTGCCACACACCGGCCAGCAGCGTGCACGTGCACAGAGGGACCGCACCACCTCCACGAGAGCGAGCACCCATCTCCTTGAGGGCCTCAAAAACACGCATAGCTTTGGGTCACTGTCTTTTTCTTTTCAAACGGCAGGAGAATGACAAAAGTTTGTTCAGACCACACGTTTCAGAGGTAGGGAACAAGCTGTGGCAGGGCCAGGGTCAGACTGCACCCGGCTCTGGTGGGCTGCTGGCAGCAGTGTGCCAGCCACTGAGCCCCAGGGCTGCCCGGGCGCCGGTGTTTGTGGACGGTCAGCATAGCCTGGGTGCTGCCTCTGCTTCAGGCAGGCGCTTTGGAGGGCGCTCCGGTGGCTGCTCTGGGGACAGCCTCCAGCAGGTCCATGAGCCTCGAGGGTGAGCCTGGGGGCTGGCCTGTAGCCTTGGTGTGCAAGGCCCTGAGAGTGGGCGCTTGGAAGGAAGTTGAACGCTCACTGTCTTTCCAGCTGGGCTCTGCGAAGTCCATGTCTGTGCCCGGAGGCCCTGCCCTGCACCACCCGCTGCCACCACCGGTCTCCCCAGCACTGCTGCGCATGGCTTCCCCGGGGAGGCAGCTCGGGATGACCAAGGCCCTTAGCCATGCATGAGCATGCCTGGACCCTCTCCTGGGGTTTGGGGGCTAAGCCAGCTGCTGTCTGTTACCCTCTGGAGCCCCCATTCCGTTTGATTTGCCCCTGGGCCTGGCCTGCCCCTCACGTCACCTTGTTTGTGCCACAAAGGGTTGTTTCTTTGAGGGGAGGGGTGGCTGAAATTAATGTTCTGGGCTGTGTCCATCTCCTGAAAGTCCACTTCTTGGACACCACAGCCACCACTGGGGCCAAGTGCTCAGCAGCCACATGCCACCTTCTTGCCCTCAGCAGCGCAGGGTGCTGGGTACCCTGCCTCAGGGCCTTTGGATTGAGGGCCCTGTCGCTTGCTCTTGCGCAGGGGTCTTGTCTCCTGACCCAGGGCTTTTAGCATTTCTGAGGTTTGGAGATTACGCGGGTTCTGTGCGATTTTTAGCACATCCATATCTTTTCTACGTTGAATGTCTGGACCTTTTCTGTGCGCGCGTGTGTCTGTGTGTGTACATATGTGTCCAGGTGTTTGTAGGCGGTGGTGGTACGCGGGAGCTCAGGCCTGGAGCCCCACTTTCCCATGCCGGCCGTGGCATCTCGGGTAGCCCTGCGGCTTGGCCAGGTCTGCACCTCTGCCCCTCGGCTGAGCGCACATGGAGCCCTGCTCCTGGGCCCCCTTGCGGCCTGTCCAGACCAGTGTGCGGCCGGGGGAGGGTTGACTAGAAGTGGGTGCCTCTGTGGCGCTTTGCGGTAGCAGGCCTTGGTGGCATAGTCTAGTTGCGGGCACATGCTCACACTCTCCTGCTGGCAAACCATTTTGTCTGTCAAGTAGGAATAAAATTCTTGAGTTGCCCCACAAACCTCTCCCCGAGCTGGCTGGAGATGTGAGTTTTATCCTTGAACTACCTGTGCTGGGCTCAGCCCTCAGGAGCCAGGGAGCTGGAGGCAGGCCTAAAGCAGGCAGGCTGCTTGCTGAGGGGCTAATGCTTTGAGAAGGGTGTCCTGGGCTGCTGAAGACAGCAGGAAGCAGGTGATGCCTTCAGCATGTGCTGGGCACAGGGCCGCAGCCCCGCGCTCTGTTGATGCCAGGTGAGTGTCCTGAGCAGGCTTGTTCGGAGTGATCACTCCAGTGGAGCCCACAGGGCCCTGCTCCCAACAGCTCAGGGTCCCTCCTGGCCCCGCCGATGTCTCTGGTCCAGGCCTCCGAACCGTGTGTATAGGACAGGGCAGCTGACACGAGATGTGTGGGGCTGAGGATCTTCCTTTGGGGACCGAAGGACTATTGGGGCCAATCAGGCCTGCAGGAGGCACCAAAGAGGAGGTGGCCTGAAGCGGATCATATGGGTCGCAGAGGGTGGACCTGCTTCTGGCCTGGCCAGGGTTCTGTTCAAGGGTGCTCAACCACTGGGCTTTCTTGGGCTGGACAGGACAGACCCCTGCCTGTGGCCCACTGTGTCCCCAGGAGCTGGTGCCGGGAGCTGAGCTCTGCTGCAGGCCGGGCGGGAGGGGAACACGGGGTGGCCCGACTGTCTGCAGCCTCCCTTCTGTTTGCTGCCCTTTGTGAGATCTGACTGTGCTCCATGGTCCCACGAAGAATCTCGAGGCCAACCCTGGCTGAGACTCCTGTGCCTGGGATAGACGGCCCCCTGCCCCCTGACACGGGCTCCCTGAGGGACAGCAGGTTCTCAGGAGGGGCCGCCTCCCCCAGGGCCCAGCCTTCCTGCTGAAGGTGGGGAGCGACACTGTACATTGTCTTGACGCCTGTTCTTATGTTTTCCTTTCATGAAGGGTTTTAGTTTGGGTTTATTTTTGGTTGGGTTGGCACTAATCCTTTTCTTAAGATGCTGTGAGAACAATTTCATCCAAATGCCAAATAAATTTGTGTTCTGGGAGAGGCCTGGCCAATCCTTGGTGTGACCCAAGCTGGGGTGGGAGGCTTCGGCCAAGCTGTCGGGCCTCAGGTGCAGGGACGGGGAGACAGAGGTGGGCCATCTGTGGGAGCCCAGGGCAGGTGTGGGACTCCAAGACGCCTGGGCCCAATCTGCTGTCCGACAGTGGTCCTTTCAGTAACTGCCCAGTTTGTGATGTGGCGACAAGAAGGCACCCAGGGACTCAGCATCGTCTGGGTCCTGTGCTCGCCTTCCTGACCCAGCCTCTAGTCGGCTGCTCCAGGCCAGGCTTTCCCAGCGGCTGGATGGGATCTTCAAGGAAGTGGTCCTTTGTTCCTGGACACAACTGCTGGGCAGTGGGGGGTTCTGGGCACTGCAGACAGTGCCCTCCTTCCCCAGATTGGGAGGACCTCCCCTCAGGACTGGAAAGAGGCGCTGCACACAGAGGCATCTGCCCACCCCATCCCATCTCCCACAACCTCAGCCTGCTGGCCCCTCGCGCACACTGGCAAGCACCCCAGCGCCCGGGTACAGAGCTCCTCCCAAAGAGCGTCGTCACCTGCCTGGCCACATCAAGCAGCAGAGTAATCAGAGGGCCTCGCCCGGGCCCAGTGGTGAACGCTGGCAGAAGGGAGGGTGGTCTAGGTCCCAGCCCCACAACGGGGGAAGGACATCTGGCCCCACGAGCCAAGGGCCCTGGGATCCAAGGAACCTTCCCCCTTGACCTTCCATTCTTGCTGGCGGCCTTTGCAGGTCACTTCTGGCTCCCAGCCTCCATTTCCTCATCTTTAAATGGGCACGACAGCCTCCTTCTGGGAGGATGAATTGGAGGAGTCCATGCAAAGTCCTTTAGGTCTGGTAGATGCCAGCGATTGTTGATGGCACTCAGCTGCAGCCTGGGGTCAGCGCGGGAGCTGGGAGCTGTCTTCCCTGCTGCTGGCCCTGCCTGGGTGCCATCCCCTTCGACCTTCCCCGCATGGCCCCCCGCGAGCCCACCCCGCTGGTGAATGCATGGCCGCCTGGCCCTGCCACCCTCCGAGTTTTCCAGTCCTGCACACTGTGGTCTCCGGGCTTTGCCCTCACCCTCCCCGCAGTCCCACTGGAAGTGCGCAGAGTTGGAGAGTGAGCTCCAGGACTCTGCCCCTCTGGTCTTGAAGCTGCCCTCCCTCACGACTACTCCTTACCCCCCTTTGGCCCTGCCTCTGGGGGGGTCCCGTGGCAGGGAGCCGAGTACGGTGCCCTTCCCCGGCCTAAGCCCTGCGCTCCCATTTGGACTGTGGCTGGGACGGAGCTCAGAGAGGGCCCGGATGGCTCACCCTCAGCTCCGCCTCCTGTCTCCACCGACAGGCACCTGGTACTACCACTCCCACGATCCGAGTGTGGTGGGGACAGTGTTGTGGGATCAGTCTTTGACCTGTGGCTGCTCTATAGTCTGGTGCTGTTGTGGCCAAAAGGTGGTCTGTAGCCTGCACTTCTGTGGTCTCTGCAGGTTCCTGTCTGCACCACTGACCCTCTGAGCGTGTCCAGGCCCATGGCTGCCATGCTCTCCAGTCCTGCTGTGGTGCCCAAGCTGTTCGTATCAGTCGGGGCCCGTGAGCCTGCCAGTGAGGCCAGCCCACCTGTGCGCAGGTGCAGAGGTTCCCCGTATGGGTGTGCGACCATGCTCCGGACCTTTCCACCCTTGCTCTGTGTGGGACAGTCAGCCCACAGGTGACTGTGTGTCAGAGTGTGGCCTGGCTCACGTGGTACCCCCGTGCGAGGGTGTTGCAGACATTGTGTCCAAGCCAGGGTGTGCGTGGCAGCTGTGACCTGTGCAGCTGTGCGAGGGAGCAGCGAGGAGCTTCCTGAGGCTGGTTGTCCTCTGGGTATGTGTGGAAGGGACAGAGGAGTCACCTTCCTCTGTGCCCCCACGTTGCCTCCCTGATCCCCTCTACAGACCCCAGACCTCATTCCTTCAGGCCCCACTCGCTGGAAGGAGGCGGCCCCTGCCTGTGGGGGCCCAGCCCAGAACCCCATGAGCACTGACCTTCACCTTGTCCATCGCGACCCCACCCTTGGACCCTTCACCTTACAAGGCCACACCTGTGCACCTCCAGGCCTGTGGACTCTGGGAAACGATGGCCACACAGGTCAGCACCCTGGGGTCAGGATCCCCCCAAGACGGGCAGGAACCTCCATACACATTGGATAGGGGGATCAGGAACCTCCATATCCAGTTGGCAGGACCCTGTACCAATAGCAACCAGCCATTGCCCCCAAGACCTGGCAGGACATACCTAGAAGTCAACTGCCCATAGCACCAGGGTGCCCAGGAGCTATCACCACCCCCAACAGTGACAATAGCTGAGGTGGGTCAGAATCCAGCCACAGGAGGGCAGGGGGGATTTCCTCTGCAGACCTCACCCCTCTGGCCAGCAGAGGGGCCTGGACACCAAGTGTGGTCCTGCTCCCATGCAGGCCCAGCCAGGGAGCAGACTGGCCTGAAGGGGACCTTCACTCATACCCTAATGGCACAAAGGTGGGTAGGCAGGGGAAAGGGTGTCATGTGCCCCCTCACCCTCAGTGTGACTCGCAATGGACACTGGCTCTCAGGGCCACCTGGAGATTCCGGGTGCCCGCTCGCTGCTGCTTGCTACCTTGCCCTACAGCTGGCACTTCCACTGGGGGGTGCACGGCGAGCAGGCTCAAAACAGCCTGGATGGCCAGTGCCACCCCATGGAGGTGGGCTCTGGCATGGGGTAACCGGGTAGGAGCACCCCACGGAGGCCAGGGGAGCATGGTGGGGGCAGCTGGGGACCTCCCAGAGGCACACGGCCCACAAGAACAAGCCATACCTGAGCGTGGGGGAGGTGTGAGGCCACCCTGACTGGCTGGCAGAGCAGGCTGCGCTGCTGGCACGAGGGAAGGGCCCTGTGACTCCTGGCAGGCAGGGAGGGGCTGTGACTCCCTGTGCTTCCCAGAAAGGGGGTCCCTGGGGGTCTGCCGAGTGGGCAGAGGGCCTGTGGAGTGTTGGTAAGGCAATGGCAGGGGGCCTGTAAGATTTTTTAAAGGGGACTGTGGGAGGTGGTGGGTTTGCAGGGTCAGTGGGGATGGCCGTACCTCAACACACTGGAGCCTTCCACCTCCGTTAGAGTCCCCCCAGACCTCCCACAGAGAGCCCCCTTTGGAGATTCCCCTGGAGCCCCATCCCCGGGGGCAGGACGCTGACAGCCTCAATGTTTCTGCCCCCGTTTCGGGCCTGAAGAAGCCGCGTGGTGAGGAGCCGCCGGATCGCACCCGACCAGGGCTGCAGGGGGCCGGGCGCCCAGGCCCCGGCAGGCCTGTTCCAACCCCGCCTCCCCACCTCCGCCCGGGGGTCTCCGTGAACCTGGCGTCCACCTTCCCGCTGGCCGCGCTGCTGCCGGGCGTCCCACAGATTTTGGCTCAGTATCACCGCCACTCGCCACGGCCGCGCTCTGGACGGTCTTCGGGGACTCGGCACCCGTCGGCGCGCAGGTGAGCCGCCCGAGCCCCCGCCGCCCGGCCCGCCGCAGCCTCTGGGGGGCGCAGAGTCGCGGCCTCCCCGGCGCCTCGGTCTGCGCGGCAGCCCCGCCCCCCGCCCCAGGCCCTGCCCTTGCGCGCGCGGCTCTGCGGGGCCTGGGGCTCAGCCAGGGGCTCTTGGGGGGTGCCTAGGATGCAGACGTGACCTCATCCCCACAATAAATGATGCCCAGAGTGACCTTGGCCTCACGCGGTTCGGATGGGGAAACCGCTCACTCCCTCCCCCAGGGAAGCGGGACTTCTGCCCTAACTCGGGCCTCACTGTGCCGGTCCGCATGGGGAGACGCCCCCTCCTCCACAGCCAGTCCTGGGTCCCCCAAATCTCTCTCAGGGGGAGAAGGCGCCCCCCACTCCCAACCACATTATATCTGAATCTCCTGGTAAAGTGGAAGGAGAAAAGCCACCTGCCGAAGCCTAAGATGACGCGTTTTATTTAAGAATGAGCGAGCTGACCGACCCGGGACGCCGCGTGGTTAAATGCTGACTCCAGCTGATGTCCCCCAAGGCCAGGAGGTGCGGAGCTCCTGGCTCCAGGCTGCGCTGGGGGGGTGCGTCTGGTGACGGGGGCAGTTAGTGAAGGGCTGTCTGTCCAGGTGACGCGCTGAGAAGTTAGGCTGCGGAGTCCGTAGGGTGACACCCTCTGGAGAGACACCAGTGTCCAGTGACTTGTGAGACTAAGTGAAGGGGTAAGTGTCCTCGGTGTCACTTAGTGTCCAAAGCAGAGCCCAGGGGACTCTGACTAGGTGTGGCTGTGTCCAGGCAACGCTGTGCAGTGGAGAGAGTGTGGGTCTGACTGTCGGAGGGTGAAGCTGGCCGGCGGCAGGCTGCTGGCCCGGTGATGCTCCGTGGAGCGCGGGTGTACATCCAGGTGCGCTGTCCCGAGGGAGGCTGGGTGCAGGTGACAATGCTCCTGCAACCCACGTGTCTCTGATGTCTACTGCGTGGTGTGGGGGACACACTCCCCCAGGGCATGGAGGCCCTGCCCCCTCCCCCAAACCCTTAAGGGAAACAAAAACCCTGCAATCCCCTCCCGGGAGGAGCCTACCCCCTTGCGCGCTCCCCGCTGCCATCCCGGAGGCTGGCACACCCCTGGCCGAAGGGGCCCCGCCGTCCCGCCGCCCGCCCCCCACCCTGGAGCGCTGGCAGGAGGCCTCCGAAAACCCTTCTCGCTCCTGGGGGGGGCGGGCTGTCCATTGTCGGGGTCCCGCGCGCCAGTGGCGGCGCCTTGGGCACCTCGCGCGGGCCACCCTCGGCTCGGCCGCCCTCAATCCCCGCCGCCCTGCGAAGCCCCTGGCGCCCCCTGCGTCTTCTTGAAGCTCCTCCGGGCCGGGGCCCGGTTCGCGCCGCCGTCGGCGGGGCCGTTCGCGCCGTCGTCGGGGGGCCTCGCCGCCGCGGCCAGGGCGTTCACGGTGCCGAGCGCCCGCAGCAGGGCCGCGCCGCGGGGCGCAGCGCGGGGCGCGCGGCGGGCGGGCGGCGGCGGCGACGGCGGGGGCGGCAGCAGCGCCCGCAGGGCGTCCAGCTCGGCCCGCAGCTCCGCGCGCAGCGCCTCGAGCCCCGCGCCCAGGTCGGCGCGCACGGCCGCAAGGCCCTCCTGCAGCCGCCGCTCGCTCACCTCCAGGACGCCCGCCGGGTAGGTGGCCCCGCCGCGGGGCTCCCCGCACACCGAGCACACGGAGCCGCGGCTGCGCGGGTCCGCCCGCTCCCCGGCGCCCGCCGCCCGCTCCCCGGCCCCCGCCGCGGCCTCCGCGCGCTCCACCAGCCGCAGCAGCCGCGGCGCCGCCGCCCGCGCCGCCGCCTCGGCCCGGAGCTGGCCCCGCAGGCGAGCCAGGCGTCCCGGGGCGCGGGCTTCCTCGGGGCCCGGTCCGTTGGGCTGCGGGCCGGGGTCCCGCCGGCGGCCCGCGGCGCGGCGTAGCGCCTCGCTGGCCCCGTACGCGCTGCGCGCCTGGACCCACGAGCGCCCAGGCTCCGCCGCCATCCGCGCCGCCGCCTCCGCCACCGCCACCGCCGCCAGCGCCCGGCCTGGCCGCGAGCTCCAACCCGCAGCCTAGCGACCGCTGGGGCCCGGGCGACGCGCCGTGGAGAGGGCCCCCCGGGAGGGCTCTGGGAACCACCGAGGCCGCAGGGGATCCGGCCTGGGGCTCGGGGAACCCGGGCAGGGCCGGGCCGGCAGGGCCGGGGGCGGGGTGATGCCCGCAGGGGACCCCAGGGAGCGACGCTGGCAGGCTTGGGTGAACCGGACCTGCCCCCCGACATCAGGCTGTCGTCGGTGGGGCCCAATGCGAGGCGGGGGTCTGGGACCAGCATCAGGCAGGGTGTCGGGAAGTCGAATGAAGGCCCCCAGACCAGGGTCAGGAGCAGAGCCCACATTCTCGGCTCCAAGCTGCTGCACCCATCACAGTCAGGGGACGGCAGCAGTGGTCGCCGAGTCCACAGACCTCACTGGCCAAGGCCAGCTCCGTGCACCATAGTCCGGCCACCGCCATCTCCCCACACACTGCAGGAATTCGTCCTTCTCCCTGGAACTTCCATTCAAGCCCTTCAGGGATCCTGGGGTCTCTGTGCCATGCCCCAGCCGTCGGGAGGCAGCCCAGGGTCCCAGCCTGTCCCACACGGCCTGCCTGGATCTGGGCCGTGTCTCTTTTACCTGCTCTAACCCACCACCTGGGCCTTTGCTCAGGCTGTTCCCCGACCTAGATGCCCCACCACCATTTGCCTGGCAGCCCCCACTCACCCCACTCCTGCAGGGCAGGAGGTCCTTGACCCCTTCACCCTTCAGCAGGGCCCCTCCTTGGCAGCCCCCCTTCACAGTTGGACCTAAACGGCTCTATTCTCTGTCCAGGTGACCCACAGTGCAGACAGGCACAGGGCTGGCTCACCCAGACTCAGTGGTGCTGAACATGCCTGGTGTTGGATGAAAGAGTAGATGGGTGACTTGAGTCTGGGGCTGAGGATCCTGGGTGGGGGGGCCTGGCATTCGAGGCCCTCATGGTTATCCATTCTGGCTTTCCTGTCCCTGCCACCTTCTGTGGGAGCCCTTCCCACTGCACCCATTCTTTCTCTCTCCCGGGCCTCCACACATGCGATGGGCCATGGGCAGTGGGCAGTGGACCCTCTGGAGCGCAGTGTCCCCCACCCAGCATGTCATTCTCCCTGAACCCTAGGGGCTAGTTAGGACTCCGAGTGCCCTGGGGCCTCCCAGTAGGTTGTGGGGAGAGAGGGCCCGATGTGGATCTGGGGTGGGCCAGAGGGACCTGTGTCCCCAGGGCCCACAGACACCAAGCCCCTGTGCAGCTCCGGGCTGGGTGTGGTGGTGGCAGGTAGTGGGGAGTCTGTCCACCCTTTTCTCAGGCAGCCCTGGCCCCAGACCGCTGTGAAGAGTCCCGGGTCCCCCGCACTCACCCCCTCACTCACCTTCCCTCGTTGCATCCTGGCCCTCTGGAAGGCGCAGCAGGGATGAGAACGGCCCCCCACTCCTGCTGCATCACCCGGCCCCTGGGACCTCCAGCATGTGGTGCTCGGATCCCTCGAGACTCGTTAACTATACCCCTGCCCCACTCCCCTCAGTAATTAATACTGCACAGAAGAGCCCTGGGTTCCTTCCTCAGGTCCCCGGGAGCCAGGCTGGGTGACTCCAGGCTCTGCCCTCTCTGAGCCTCCACTGTGAGATGAAGGAGGCCTCTAAGGCCCCCACAAGCCGAAGGCAGGGGGTCTGGGAGGGTGGGGGAGGGTGCAAGAGAGACTTCAGGTTTGCTGACCAGCACCTGGGACGTGAGAGCCGGGGGCGCCGGGGCAGGCAGCCTGGGCAGACAGCCTGGGCAGACAGGGCTTGTTGGCTCTGACTGCTGAGGCTGACGGAGGGGGTGTGCTCCAAGGGCTTTGCAGGAGTTCCGGTTCCTGTAGGCGCACAGGGCTCATGGTGCAGAGTCCCACAGCCGCGGGTGTGGAGAAGACAGATGGCACAGAAGCCAGTGCAGAGTGGGAAGGGTGGCCCCAGGGACCCCACGGGCCCTGAGGAGGGCTGTAGAGGTGCTGGTGAGGGGTGGGCACGAGGGTGTGGTTGGGGTGACCTGAGCCCCTAAGGTCAAGTGCAGTGAGGGTCGAGAAGTAGGTCGCTGTGACTCTGGCCTGAGCTCCAGCAGTGGGAAGGCTGGGCAGAAAAGCTGAGGGCTGGAGGCGAGGAGGTGGGCAGAGGCCTGTGCCAAGGCCGGCTGGTTGGAGCAGGGTGGGACAGAGCTGCTGGGCTGGGGCGCCTGCACACGGGCCTGCTTGCCGGCTCCTCCAGGGAGCCCCTCGCAGCCCAGCCTGCCCAGAGTTGCCGACTGGGCCCAGTGAAGAGCCCGGCTCCGTCCCCACCCCTTCCTCTCTCTGTGTGCCCAGAAGGGCAGGACCAGGCTTGGTGGGGGCAGCTAGGCTGCCTGCGTCTGTGGGCATCTACCAGTCCCTGGGGCTGTCAGGCTGTGTGCATTCAGGCATCAGCAGCCCTGCCACGCACTGACTCATCAGCAGTGCAGGGCCTGGAGAGAGAGAACACCCCCGGCTCTGCCTGTGCCCCAGAAGGGGGGCAGTCACTCCATGTGACTTAACTGTGGTCACCCTTGCCCTCTGTTGCCATTAAACCCTAGCAGCCACCTAGAGAGGTGTTATTTCCCAGAGCCCAAGGACAGCGGGAGCCAGGAGAGACGTCAACAGTCAGGGCCAGGCAGGCTTTGTGTGGTGGAGGGCCTTGGAGGGGGCAGGGGAGCAGGGGCTGTGACAGTGGCCTCACAGTCCTCGGGGGGCACATGGAAGCAGATCCCCGGGTTCCCCCCAGCCCAACGAGGCAGAAGGGGGAGAGGGTATGTGAGGGCAGGGTAGTCTTGTCTTCTGCAGCCATCCACATGCCAGGTCTGGGCCTCGCCTTGGTGAAGGGGGACACATGGAGATGCAGCCCCCACATGAAGCCCCAGACCTGCAGTAGGACCTGGAGCCAGTCACATCTCCTCTCTGTCCCCTTCTTTAAATGAGGGGCCACATGCAACTTAGGGATCCAGCATCAGGGCCTCCCAGAGTGGATGGACCTGCCCTTCAGGCCGCTGTGTCATCCCTTATTCAACTTAAAAGAATTCATACTGAAGAAAAATCCTTTGAGAGCTAGTGCTCACCAAAGGGGAGGGGTTGTGGGGGTGAGTTGGGAGGGAGAAGGGAATCAAGAGGCTCTATAATTGGCAATCACAATACAGGTCGGTCACGGGGAAGGCAGTACAGCACAGAGAAGACAAGTAGTGACTCTCTAGCTTCTTACTACGCTGATGGACAGTGACTGCAACAGGGAGGGTGAGGCCTTGACAATATGGGTTAAAGTTGAAACAATAATGTTGTTCATGTGAAACTTTTATAAGATTGTATGTCAATGATACTTTCATAAACAATATATATATACAATAGGTCAAAATCTTCAGGTAAAAACCCTTAGGTATTAAAAAATTAAATGCCAATAAATGTTCATATGGATGTGATCTTCCACATACAAATATGCTTACCAGTAAGCTAGTAAGCTACAGCATTGGCATTATGCTACTAAGAGATACATACTGTAAGACCTTGAACCCACTTCATCTACCAAGTGAGGATAGTAATGGATATTTTACAGATTAAACAATAAACTTCCAACAATTGTGCCTGAAAAAATGAAAGAAAAACCCTTTGAGTGTAATGAGTAGAGGAAAGTTTTCTGATGGAAGACACACCATACTCAACACCAAGAATTCATAATGAAAAAAACCTTGTAATACAAAAATGTGGCAAATCTTTCAGCAGAAGTACACATCTTAATCAACACCAGAGGACTAATACTGAAGAGAAACCCTACGAGTGTAACAAGTGTGGGAAAAGCTTTTGTCAGAGTGCATATCTGACTCAAGACCAGAAGATCCATTCTTGGGAAAAGCCAGTATGGATGAAATGTGGGAAAGCCTTCATTATAAATGCAAACCTTATTCAACACCAAGGATTTGGAAGATAAATAAATCTGAAGAATCTGCCATATATAAAGAAATTCAGACTGGAGAGAAATTCAACAGATGCATTAAATGTTAAAAATATGTCAGCTATGCTCTACATCAGTGAAAGATCAATCCAAGGGAGACATTCTATGAATAGTATCTGTGGCAGGTAATTCAGCCATAGTATGCCATTCATACAATATTAATCTGTTTCTTATGAAGGAAACTTATAATATACAAATTTGTAAAATATTGTAGTGAATTCTTATCTCTTACTAACCGTTAGGTAATAAACACTGTGAGAAACTCTACAAACAACATTTTCATCAAAAAAATAGTAAATAAAGTGAACTCTTTCTCCAATACTTTTGATTTACTTTATAGAAAAGTTATAAAAATAATGTATTCAAATGCTGGATTTAGTTAATTGCACTACTTAAATATACTACTTTTACTGGTATTTGTTATCACTGTACAACAAATTATACCTAAATTAGTGACTTAAAACAACAATAAACTTCTATTATTGTATGCCATATCTGGCTATCCTGTGTTCTTATGGTTTGGGGTCTTTTTTTAAGTCTGCAGTCAAGATGTCACGGAGGGCTGTAGGAAGAGATGATCAATCCCTCTTATGGGTGTCAGATGGGTTCAGGCTGTAGGCAGAGGGGACCTCAGTTTCTGCCACGTGGACGTCTCCACAGACTGCTCAAGTATCCTTAGGATGTGGTGTTGCTTTCTCCAGAGCGGGCGATCCAAGAGGGCGAGGAGGAAGCTGCAGTCCGTCTTTTATGACCGAGTTTCATGACTGACACACCACCACATCCACAATATTTTGTTACACAAGTCAGCCTTATTCAGTGTGGGAGGTTCTGCTACCCAAGGGTGTGACTATCAGAAGACAAGGTTTATAAGGACCAAACTGGAGACCAGCCACCACAGCAGGGGAGGCCCGGGCACAGCTGTGGTGTCCTGATGCTGGCTGGGGAGAGCCTGTGTCCGACAGTGAGCCTGGGGTTCAAGTCCAGGAGGGTGGCATCATTAGAGCACTGTGTCAAGGCTGGGCCACCACCCAGACCCTCCTTGCCCAGCTCCTAAGCGTGCACGGGGGCCAGGACCATTGGCCCAGCTGTCTCGGTAGGGACGGTAGGGACAGTAAGGCCAGGCGCCTGGGAAAACCCTTGGGCTTGGGCCCACCCACCTCTAGGTTCCCTAGAGCGAAGCGCCTGAGTCTTTCCCGCAGAGACGGAGGTGATGTGGGACAGAGCCCGCGACTCCACCTGGACACGTGGACAGACGGACAGCTTAACTCCGCATTCCTGAGCACCGGGCCGAGGAACGCGCCCCACACGCCCCTCCCGTCCCGCTCAGACACACACGCAGAAGCCCTGAGACACAAGCGCCTTCCGCAACGGTTGCTGGGCCGGGAACTGCACTTCCCAGAAGGCTGTGCTACAGCTCGGGCCCGACGCCCTCTGGGAAATGGAGTCCACAGCCTGCGCGCTGCAAAGCCTCCTGGGAGTTGTAGTTCGCGTGCGGTCGGCGCAGGCGCGCTCTCCCGCGGCGCCTTCCGGCTGCTCCTTTGTGGGGGCTGCTGTCCTTTTGTAGAGGCGGCTCCGCTTGCTCGCGCGTCCGCCCGGCAGGCCGCCCCGGGGCCCGTCTGCCGGCCGCGCCCCGCGCCCCGCGCCCCGCGCCCGTGGCTGTGGGCGGCTGAGCCGAGGCCGGCCCGGTCCCCGCGTGGCGCCCTGGGAGGAGGGCGCGGGCGATGGCGCGGCGGCGCAGCCCGGGGTGGGGAGCGGCGCCGGCCCAGCCCGCCCGACCCCGGCCTCTGGGGGCGCAGGGGCCTCCGCGCGCGTGACTGCGCGGCCGGGAGGCGGTGCGATCCCGCGGGGCTCCCCTGCGGGCCGTCCCTGAGCCCCAGGAGCAGGACCCGCTGCTCTGGGCCGGGCCCGGTCCCCGGAGCGCTGCCGAGGGCGCCATGGAGACCCCTGCCCCGAAGCCCCGGGACACAGGTACAGTTGCCTCTTTAAATCCGTGCGTCTGTGTATTTGCACTTGAGGCTGACACTCAGAGAGGTCCACTAGTTTCCCAGAAGCGCCCAGCACAATGAGGCCTCCTGCCTTTTCGCTGTGCACAACCATTTTCTTTTCTGTGTCAAGCATGAGCGGGAATGGCCGCGTTTGGGGGGGTTTTCTGGGATGGGATCAGGCAGGGGTGTGGAGTAGCTGTAGGAAGGGCTGCGTCGCCGTGCAGGGGGAGGAGTGATGGTTCAGGGTGTGGACCTGGGTGTTTTTCCTCTACCAGGCCCCCAACAAGGGCCCTCATGGAAAAAGCTGGAGGTTTGGAGGATCTGGGGGCTCAGCGAGAAATTGGCCTTGGGGCTCAAATCCTTCCTTTTACAGACTTCGGGTTTCAATTGGAGAGTGTGAGACACTGACTGGCAGAATTACCCCGGATTGTGCGGGTACTGGGGCTGGCCCCCCACCCTTCTGCACCGGGGGTTCCTGGTTGCTCTCTGGTTGCCCCCCGTGTGGGGCGGAGTGGCCTTCGCCCAGCCCGTGCACCTGGTGGCTCTAGGCCAAAGAGCCCCCTGACTCATTTCTCTTCCCCAGCTCTGCCCTCTCAGGACCCTGTACTTCCCTTCAAAGAGAATCCAGAGGACACGTGGGGTCAGGGTCCCCTGGAAGCCAAGTCCGAGGTGAGTGGCTGTCTGTCCGACCTTCAGAACGTCCACTTCTTTATGAGGAGGGCACCTTCCTCCCCTTCTCGGGATCTTTAGTTACCCAGGGAAAGAGCCTGGAGCCTGCGCTCCTGTCCTCGGGGAGCCCCGGGCATGGTTGGAGAGTCGGGGTGACACCCCACGTGTGCCCTTGAGGTGAGCGTCCCCTTCTAGCTGGATACAGTCCGGCAGGTGGGCCTGCGTGCCCAGCCTTGTACTGGGGGCTCTGAGTGGTCTTCGTGGAGGCCAAGCACTTAGGCAAAGGCTCACACGAGGTTGTTTGCCTCACGAGCAGACCCAGCGCGTGCTTGTGGTGGTCGGCCCTAGTTTGGGGGACTTTTCTGGGATGGGATCAGGCAGGAGTGTGGAGTAGCTGTAGGAAGGGCTGCGTCGCCGTGCAGGGGGAGGAGTGATGGTTCAGGGTGTGGACCTGGGTGCTTTTCCTCTACCAGGCCCCCAACAAGGGCCTTCATGGAAAAAGCTGGAGGTTTGGAGGATCTGGGGGCTCAGTGAGAAATTGGCCTTGGGGCTCAAATCCCTCCTTTTACAGACTTTGGGTTTTAATCCTCATTTGTCCTAAACACCACACCCATCACAGTATTTGGCTGTGTACAGTTGACAAGGGATGACAGTGTGATGTGGTGAGGTTTGGAGGATTGAGGGTCCTTTGACTTTTTTAGGATTTTGTGATTCTGTTAACCTCCCACTTGAAAGAGGTCTGATTACAGAAAGGTAGACATACCTGTGAAATACATATTGGGAGGTGTGCCAGGCTTCCGTAACGTGTTAGAATGCCCTGTAACTCTGTGAAACACTCAGGAGACATGAGGATCAAATGCAGCACATGATCCTCCATGGCTCATAGATCCAAAAAATTCAAAGGCCGTTTGGGACAGTTGACAAAATTTGAAAATGGGTTGTATCTTAGATCCTATTGTATCAGTGTTGACTGTCTCGGTCGTGATGGTGGCCCGCTCTGGGACTGCACAAGAGACTGTCCCTAGGAGATACATGCTGAAGAAGGTAGGGTGAGATGTCACGCAACTACCTTCACATGATTCGGCAGAAAAGTGTGCTTGTGCATGTGTGTGTACGCGTGTGAGTGATTACTTCAAGGCACTCCCCTTGTGCATAGGTGTTACTCCTAAAATATCAGCTTGGACCCAGGAGTAGCTGGTCCTCCTCTCCTGAGCACTCTTCTCTCCAACAGCCTTGTCCCCACCATGGTCAAATGCTCTGCTCCCCTGGAACACCCCCTGTGGTCTGCTCTCACTCCGCTAGTTTCATTACCACCTCTGCATTTGATCCCCACCCAGGCCCCCTGGGCTTTTGGTTTCCTGTCCTGTGTAATGAAGACAGGCCGGACGGACGTAGGCTTCTCCCAGTGGGTTGGGGGTGCCCACCCGGAGGGCGTGTGCAAGGCTCAGACCCTCCCCTGCTCTCGCCTGCGGACACCCGCACACTGCAGCCACGGAGCTCCGACAGCCCCTCTCGCCAGCACCGCATTCGCTGTCTCTGGAGCTTGGTTTCTGCCTGCTGTCTCCCTCTCCCAGCCATTGCTGCCACCGTGGTACTTCCTCCCTGCGTGGCTCAGAAACGGCGGGTTCTCAGCCAGCTTTCGCAGTCCTACCCTCTCATCTCCCTGAAATCCAGTGGTTTTTCTGGAGCAGGTTTATTCAGGTACAATGTATACACAATGAAGTTCTCTGGTTGTAAGTACAGGATTTGGTGAGTTTCGGTCAATGTATGTCACTCGTGACGTGTAACGTTTCCATTACCCAGAAAGTTCCCTGAGGCCCCTTTGCCTGCGGTGCTCTTTCCCCACCCCTTGGCGACAGCTGTAACGTAGGCTTTTTAAGAATTTCAGATGGAATTACATAGTATGTAGTCTTTTGTTTCTAACTTGACTTAGTGTTTTTGATATGATGTCATTATGAGAATCACTAGTTTATTCTTTTTATTGCTGGGTAACATTCCATTTGTGGTAGTTCACGAGAGCCACTGTAGCCAAGTGCCACAGACCGGGGACCCAGACGCTGTCGCAGCCTGCAGGCTGGAAGTGCAAGATCAAGGTGCCAGCAGGGGTGGCTTCTCCCGAGGCCGCTCCCCGTGCGTCGAGGCAGGGCTTCTCCTGCGCCTTCATGTGGCCTTTCCACTCTGCGTGTCTGTGTCCAAATTTTCTTTTATAAATACATCAGTCAGGGAGGCAGGGCTTGCCGCAATAATCTTGTTTTACCTTAATTATCTCTTTAAAGATCCTTTCTCCTAACACAGTCACGATCTGAGGTACTGAAGGTTAGGAGTTCAACATCTGAATTTGGGGGGATGCAGTCCAGCGCCTCGTACCATTGTACAGATATTCCACGGTTTGCTTGTCCATTTACCAGCTGGTGGACATTCAGGTCGTTTCGGCTCTTACAGATACACCTGCTGTACGTGACTGAGTACAACTACAGATGTGTGTTTTAATTTCTCTTGAAGAAATATCTAAGATGGGATTGCTGAGTCAGATAGGGAATATATTTAATTAGCAATTCTATTGAACTTCTCATATCTTTTGGTTTCATTGATTTTCTCAACTGCTTTTCTGTTTCCTAGTTCGTTGATTTTGGGTCCTATTTCCTTCCCTCACTTACTTGGGCTTCTCACGCTTGACACTCAAGCGCTGGCCTGACGTCTCCTTGCTTCGCTCTCGCAGCGGCAATGCTATGAATTTCCCACTAGGCGCTGTCCTGGCTCCTCCCCACAAATTTTGTTACAGTGAATTTCCATTCTTATTCAGTTCAATATAGCTTCTAATTTCCTGATTTCTTCTTCAACCATCTATTAGTTAGGAATGTGTTGTTTAATTTCCAAATATTTGGGGGATTATCCAGACACCTTTCTATCATGGATTTCTAATGTAATTATGGTGGAATTGGAGAAAAATTTGTATGATTTGAATCCGTGTCACTTCTCGTCACATCTGGAGCCTAATGAGATCAGCCCCCCATCTGTGTCTCAACCATTCGCCAGTCTTCTGTGAACGGCTTGTATCCTTTGTCCATTTTCCTCTTGTTTGCCTTTTTCTTAGTGAGTTGTCGGTATTCCATGCAAAGAAAAAACAAATGTCTATGGAGTAAATAAGTATAAGCCTTCTCCTGGTTTCTGGGTTTCCTGAATTCACAGCACTACCTCCCAAAATCCTCATGTTCAGATCCTTGCTCCACCTGGACTTGGGTTTTGTGTGCGGTATGAAGAGTGGTTTAATCTTTCTTGCTGTTTTATGTTGGTATTCGTCTCAGCACGTGCTGCTGTAACAAAATATCACAGACTAGGGGGCTTAAACAACAGAAACTTATTTCTCACAGTTCTGGAGGCTGGGATTCGGAGACCAGAGCGCCAGCAGGGCCGGTTTCTGGTAAGGGTTCTTTTCCTGGCTTGCAGACAGCCACCACCTCATGACATGGCTTGTCCGCGATGTGCGCACTGCAGACAGAGATCTCTACTGTCTTCTTCTCATAAGGCCACCAGGCCTGTTGGACGGGGCCCATGACTTCATGTGACCTCAGTTACCTCCCAGGACCTTGTCTGTAAATACAGCCACAGCTGGGGTGAGGGCTTCAGGGGGACACAGTTCAGTCTGTGGCAATTTTGATAATTATCTAAAAGTATAAGCCACTTTCAGAACTACAGGTCAAACCTCCTATGACCCCAAAAGGGGCCTCTGCCCTCCCTGACCTCCTGATAGGTGCCCGGGAGGCATGAGGCCTCGCCTCAAGGCTTGAGGTGTGTTGTCCCATTGCCTGACTGCGGGTGCTGGTACAGGAACTCGGGGGGCACTTGGCGGCTCCCGGCCCCACCCCAGTCCCTCCCAGCGAGCCCCGACCAGGCGGGGGCCAGCTCTGCCCCTTGCTTTACTCCTCGTCTTTACAACTAGCTCCCATGGTGGAGGTCCGGAGGATCTGGGGGCTCAGCGAGAAATTGGCCCTGGGGCTCAAATCCCTCCTTTTACAGACTTTGGGTTTTAATCCTCATTTGTCCTAAACACCACACCCATCACAGTATTTAGATGTGTACAGTTGACAAGGGATGACAGTGTGATGTGGTGAGGTTTGGAGGATTGAGGGTCCTTTGACTTTTTTAGGATTTTGTGATTCTGTTAACCTCCCACTTGAAAGAGGTCTGATTACAGAAAGGTAGACATACCTGTGAAATACAACGTAACGTGTTAGAATGCCCTGTAACTCTGTGAAACACTCAGGAGACATGAGGATCAAGTGCAGCACATGATCCTCCATGGCTCATAGATCCAAAAAATTCAAAGGCCGTTTGGGACAGTTGACAAAATTTGAAAATGGGTTGTATCTTAGATCCTATTGTATCGGTGTTGACTGTCTCGGGTGTGAAGAGAGAAGAGGTAGCGGCTGCTTTGAAAGCAGCCCGCCTGCTCCTGCCACCTGGGAGCTTATTCGCCGGCAGGAGGGACCCAGGGGGGTCAGAGCACGAGGGCGAGGAGACCGCTGAGGGCAGCCGCCCGCACACTCGGGGGGTGGGTGATGACCCCTGGCGGTCCTGGGCTTCAAGAGCAGGAGTGGGTGGAGCGGGTCACCGCGCATCAGTGACGGGGCGAGATGGGGAGCAGGCAGGGATGAGGTGCACCGAGGCTCTGGCCAGGGAGGGCAGGGGAGTAAGGAACCCAGCAGGAAGGGCCTGGAACGGCTGCCCTGATCGTGGGGGCAGGAACTTGCCGGTAAGCACTGGGTGTCCTGCTGTAGAGTGCACTGGTGGCGTCTCATCTGAGGTCGATCCTTTTGCAGGGGTGAGATTTGAATAGGTTTTCTGGTTCTTAGTACTGTGTTTTCAACATCTGTAAGTTGCACTGTCTTGACCCCTGGGGAAGCGTAGCATCCTACCCAGAACTCACTGCAGCAGCCTTGTTGCCGCTGTACCACTTAGACATGGGCTGTCCGCTTAGACAGGCCCTCCTCGCCCAGGCCAGGGTCCGTAAGGCGATTCCTGGTCCAGGTGTTGCATGGGTGTCACAGCTGTACCACCAGGGGCATCTCCAGCACAGAAGGCTCAGGAGGTCACCCGAGGTCAGCACGTTGTCCCTAAGGACCTCCTGTGGGGCCGGGAATGCAGTCAGAGTCACTCCCGTCCTGGGTGAGTGACAACGTGCATGCCATTCCAGGAACTGGTGACTTTCAAGGACGTGGCTGTGGACTTTACCCAGGAGGAGTGGGGCCAGCTGGACTCGCCTCAGCGGGCCCTGTACCGCGACGTGATGCTGGAGAACTACCGGAACCTCCTTGCCCTGGGTAAGGCAGCTCCTGAGGCTCAGAACGTGCAGTCAGGGCACTCTGCCATGCCAGAGGCATTACAGCCCTGGCGCTGTGCCCGGTGGGAAGCGAGAGATGTCCCTGTGCTCAGCGGGGCTTGACGGCGCGTAGTAGCCACCAGCATCCTTGCTTGGAGTTGTGGCTGGTTTGGGGTAGATCCCAGATGAGAGGGAGGGGTGGGCAGGGGCGTGGGAGCCCAGCCTGCCCTGGAGCTCTTTTGGGGAGATCAGGTGGTGTCAGTACCCTGGGGTCCTCAGAGTGCAGGCTTCAATCTGAGTTCTGCATCTGAGACCCACGTCCAGGGCTGGCACACACCTCTCACTTCCCCTGGTGGTGCTGCCCGGGAGAGCCCAGCACACAGCCACACCACTTCCTTCTCCACAAGCAGGGCCTCCAGTCTGCAAGCCGGATGTGATCTCCCACCTGGAACGAGGCGAGGAGCCCTGGCAGGTGCCTAGAGAAGCCCTTGGAGGGGCGTGTCCAGGTGAGCAAAGGCAGGGAAGGATGCCCCTCCCATCTCCTCTTTTTCCACCGTCCACCGTGCCTGCTCAGTGTCCTTTCTAGAACCCTCCATGCTTCTATATTTTTCCTCCCTTCAACACACACATTGAACACCAACTGTGTGCCAAGAGCTGTGCTAGGAATACAGCGGTGAGCAAAGGCGCCTCCTTCTGCCGGCCGGAGACAGAAATAACACCTCCATGCACAAGTGATGATGGTTAGTTGGCACCAGGGAAGACAAAGGACAGAGCAGCACGTGTGTGGAATTAGGGTCCAGGCTTCATTCGCCTCTTGAGAAAAGGCAGTGGCCGCCTGTGGACAGGGAAACAGACGCAACTGTGGTTCATAGAGGGCTCCAGGAAGACTTCCCAGTGTTCTGGGATTTAGTGTTTAAGGAGATGCACACGCACCCCAGGGACAGAGGACACATTTACAACTCCAGGTGTTCTGAAGGAAATGCTAAAGAGAGCTGGTGTTAGGCAGTTCCCTTAAGACACCAGGAAAAATCTGAATGTAGTTATTGTGTTTGGCCCTATTTTACCCTGTGTTCGTGCCTGGCGCTGATGCCCACTTTCTCAGTCAAAGGCTCTCTGGGTGGACCACTGACCCCTCTCAGTTTCTCTGTCCCTCCCCTTCCCCAGCTTGCCTGCCTTGCCTTGGAGGTCCCCCCATCAGTCTCTGCCCCCAGGCCTGCGGCTCTCATGCTGTGCTGGTCGATCCTTTTCTCTGCCCGTTTAAACCTCCAAGTCAGGCCTCAGACCTGAGTCCCAGCCACATGTCTGCCTACTTACAGAAAATCGCATCTCCCATTCATCTCTTACAGACCGGGAGCCCAGGCTGGGGCTGAAGGAGGAGTTGTCTGAGCAGCGGGGCGTTTGCAAGGAAGAGCTGGCTCAGGAGCTGGGCACCGGGCAGCTGGTCAGGTCCTGGCTCCACAGCCGTGCTCCAGGCAGTGGGCCTGCCTGGGAGGGCCCAGCTGCTGCTCCATCCCGAGGCGAGGCTGTGCTCTGGAAGCAGTCGCCCGCCAGCTGTGCAGATGCATCTGCGAACTGCTACCAGCAGGGACACAAGGCATTTGAGGAGGATGCTCCCTCCAGGTGCCCCCTCTTGGCCCAGCCAAGTGTTCCCACAGAAGCCGACTCTCCTGATGGACATGTGGAGAATATCCAGCCCAGAGAGGCAGGAGCGAAGCACCAGATGACGTGCACAGCCAGGAACTCCTGCAAGTCCAGCAGACACGGAAAATACCCGCCAGGGAGCACGCAGCAGGGTGCAGGCCCCGGGGAGGGTCTTTTTGTGTGTGGGGAGTGTGGGAAAGCCTTCCACCAGAGCACATCCCTCACTCTGCACAGGCGCTGGCATGCGCGTGAGAAAGCCTACAAGTGCAGCGAGTGTGGCAAGGCCTTCACCTGGAGCACCAGCCTCACTGAGCACCAGCGGATCCACACGGGCGAGAAACCTTTCTTCTGCATCGAGTGTGGGAAAGCCTTCAGCTGCCACTCGTCACTGAATGTGCACCACCGGATCCACACGGGTGAGAGGCCCTACAAGTGCAGCGCCTGTGAGAAGGCCTTCAGCTGCAGCTCACTGCTTAACATGCACCTCCGGGTACACACGGGCGAGAAGCCCTACAAGTGCACTGAATGTGGCAAGGCCTTCAACCAGAGGACACACCTGACACGCCACCACAGGATCCACACGGGCGAGAAGCCCTACAAGTGTGACGCGTGCGGCAAGGCCTTCACGTGCCACTCATCCCTGACCGTGCACGAGAGGATCCACAACGGCGACAAGCCGTTTAAATGCTCTTCCTGCGAGAAGGCCTTCAGCAACCGCTCACGCCTCACCCTGCACCAGCGGATCCACACCGGGGAGAAGCCCTTCAAGTGCAGTGACTGTGGGAAGGGTTTCAGCTGCCACTCCTACCTAGTGGTGCACCAGCGGATCCACAGCGGGGAGAAGCCCTTCAAGTGCAACGAATGTGGCAAGGCCTTCAGCTCCCACTCCTACCTAATCGTGCACCAGCGGATCCACACCGGGGAGAAGCCTTTCGACTGCAGCCGCTGCTGGAAGGCCTTCAGCTGCCACTCATCCCTCATCGTGCACCAGCGGATCCACACGGGCGAGAAGCCCTACAAGTGCAGGGAGTGCGGCAAAGCCTTCAGCCAGAACCACTGTCTCATTAAACATCAGAAAATCCACTCTGGGGAGAAGTCGTTTAAATGCAATGAGTGTGGTGAGGTGTTCAGCTGGAGTGCGCACCTCGCCGAGCATCAGAGGACGCACAGCGAGAAGCCCTTTGCCATCCAGTTCAACAAGCACCTGCTGAGCACCTACTACGTGCCTGGCAGCCTGCTGGGCACAGAGGACACAGGTGTTGGCGGCGTAGACCCAATGAATGCCCTGGACATGGCAGAGCTCCTGTGCGTGGCTCCGCCCCCAGCCAGCAGGAATTTCCCCCTGGGCAGCAAGCCCGGGAACTGAGGTGGCGAGCTGTGGTGCAGCCCCTCCTCGCCCAGAAGGCGCAGCGGCTCACCTGCAGGCCACGCAGGTCTCTGCGGGCCAGGAAGCCGCCCTCCTACCCACGCGTTTGTCCATGTGCCAGGCACCTCCCTTAAGTAAAGGTCAGCAGCTCCTCAGACGGGTTCCTGGCTTGATTCTGATCAGGAATGCTTCCGGTACACCTTTGTTTAGAATAATAATTTTAAAAAAATAAGGATTATGAACAATATCACTTCCAAGCGAACGTCGTTATATTCCAGGAGGGGAGAGCGGCCTTGGGTGTGGAGGAGGGAAGATGAATTCCCAGACTCGCCTCCGCAAGCAGGCCTCTTGAAGAGCCATTTATCGACGACGGCCGCCCGGCGCGGTCCAGCATCGGCGCGGCCAGGTCCTGACGTGCTGGCATCCTGCCTGGCCGCCTAGTCCTAGGCGGGAAACAGCACACAGGCAGCTGCCCAGGCCTCCAGCTGCAGTGCCAAGCTAGATGTACTTAGAACCAGCCTTTGTCCCAGCTGGGGAGGCTGCCTGCAGGGCCCCTCTGGGCACCGTTCAGCTCAGCCCAGCCCAGCCCCCGGGGAGGAGTCCCGCCCCCATCCCATGCCTTCTGCAGGGGTAGAGACGGTGTTCTTCCAGAATTGTTCTTTCTACTCAGTTCTAAGCAAGTACTGTTGCCTTCTCAGCGATGATCCTTCACATGCATAGAGTGCTGCAGCTCATGAAAAACTGCTCAGTATACCTTTTAGACTATGGAGGCAAAATAACCACATTGGAAATGTGGAATTAAGGGGGAAAAGGCCCATGACTCTTAATAAAACTGCATTTTGCACTTTGATGCATTGCCTTCTCTTTTCATCATGCATTTTTACATTAGTTTAAACATAGTGTATATATCATTTTAATCTTTTTTTTTTTCTACTTAGCTGCAGAGTGGAATTTTTTCCCAAGTAACCTGTCTTTGGAGTTTAAACTCCAGATGGAGGTGTGGTATTCTATTAAATATTCTTTTGTTAGATGTTGAAGTTATTCTCAGTATTACAAATCATTTGTAGAACATCTTTTTGCATTCCACTTCATTTTCTTAGAGAAGATTTCTAGGAGGGAAAATTTTGAGATAAAGGAAATGAACTGCTTAAGGAATCACCTTAGTATGCTTTTGCTTATGTGTCTCATGGACATCGGGCAGCAGTAGACGGCAGGCAGGAGCGTCCCCTGCAGATCCAGAGACAGGCGCCGTTCGAAGCTGGGTGTCCAGCCGGCCTCTGTTCAGGACGTGGAGACAACTGAGTGATGATCCCGGACGTCAGCCACTCCGCTGCAGCCCTCCGGTGTGTCTGCGCGCCGGCCTTGTGTTACGTGGTCTCCAGGGCCACGTGGCTGTCACGGGCCCTCCTTTCATGACAGGAAAAGTGCCCTTCACAGGCGCATTAGTAAAGGACAAATATGATCTGGCTTGATTCATTATCATCATCCTCATTTTTCTGCTCACTTTAAGACTTAAAACACAACCAGCTCTGTGAGCGGTGGGTACTGTGCCCTCTGCCCTGCAGTGCCTGAATATACCCAGCTGACCCAGCTGAGGGCAACGCCTCGTTACTTCGCACCACTGATGACTAACGAGGTTGAATATTGACGTGTAATTATTGGTGTTTCTTCTTGAAAATAATTTGAATATACACTTGGCCTCTTCTTTGGAGTCTTGATGTTTTTCTTTTATTTACATATGAATTTTTTCTGATTATATGAATATTTGTGTATTTAAGAAATTTTTTTAAAAATCAGAAAATTACACGAATAAAAATGAGCCTCAGTATCGGTTCATGCATTTCCATCTAGTGTCTTTTCTTTGCATCTATACCTACGCCTTTTCTTTTGAAACAAAGCTAGATTCATATTCCGCATGTTATTTTTATGCTTTTCTGTTTGACATTTTACGATGAACACTTTCCACATTACAAAATATTTTTCAAAACTATTGATGGCCACATGATTTTGTTTTATAGTCACATCATGATTTATCTGTTCCTTTATCGTTGAACATCTTGATTACCTGTTCCTATAAGTAATTCTGGGAGGTAAACATATTATGCCCATCTTTGATTATTTCATCAGAATAAATTCTGAGAAGTGGAGCTCGCGGGCAAAGGCGTCGTATCGCAGAGGTTTCCCAGGCCGACCGCAGCACAGCGCTCCTGGTGTCCACCTTCCCTATGGGCCCTGAGAATGCCCCTCGTCCACACCCTGGCCAGTGCTTCCGCCTCTGCCCATCAGAAAAGTTTTATCTTCATGTAGGTTCTTACATTTATTCTTAAGTTTTTACGTCTCACTTTTTATATTTGCCATTTCCACACATTAAAAATATTATTCATGCTTTTTGGCTATTTTTTTCTCTTCATATGAATTGTCCATTTCTTTTACCCATATTCCATTTGTTTTTTTATATACATTTACATGTACACATTATACATATATAGACACACACATATAGCCTTGGCATGTACATCTGTAATCGTTGCTGCATTTTCTATGTAGAGAGGTTTTAAATTCTGTGTAATGAAGTCTATTTGATTTATTTCCTTTGTATTTTTCCTTTGTCTGTTAGAAATCCCCTTCTCAAGTGCTTTTTTGGTTCCACATATTACATTTAACTCTTAAATCCATCTATTTGGGATGCACAGTCTAAGGCCCCTCGCCTTGCTGCGCCGGCCTTCCTTACTGGTCTGTAGGCCTGTCCTTCCTGTTACCGTTGCTCTGTGATTCACTTGAATACGGGGTAGGACCAGGACCACATTTTTAGTAGGTTTTTTTAAGTTTTTTTTAAATTTTAATCTATTCTTTCAGGGAACCAAGGATTCATTTTCTCAGAACTCAACTCTTCATGCCCCTGCAGATCTCATTGGGATTTTGATTGGAACTGACGAGTTTGTGAAGAATCGATATAGTTCTATATAATATTAAGCCTTCACATCAAAGAATGTAGATGACTGTTCATTCATACCTGCCTCTAACCATCAGAAAAGTTTTATAGTTTTCTTCATATATGTTCTTACATTTGTCCTTAAGTTCATTCTAATTTTGTGGGGTTTGTAAATCTCTGTTGTAAAACACAGGACAACAGGACAACTCCTGGTCGTAAATATCCTTTTGCATATTTATTTTATACCTAGCAGTTTTACTGATTTTAACAATTCACAGTTTATTGGGTTTTCTGGTAAACCGTTACATTACATGGAAATAAAAAGTTTGCTTCTCCTTTTATTATAGGTAGCTTTTTATTTCATTTCTTTTTAAAACCCACGTTGGCCAGCACTTGGAGACAACACTTGGCGGCAGTGGCGGCACAATTCACAGTTTATTGGGTTTTCTGGTAAACCGTTACATTACATGGAAATAAAAAGTTTGCTTCTCCTTTTATTATAGGTAGCTTTTTATTTCATTTCTTTTTAAAACCCACGTTGGCCAGCACTTGGAGACAACACTTGGCGGCAGTGGCGGCCTGGGGTGGCTACAGCACACAGTTGTGGCCGGTGAGGCCCAAGGGGAATCTGCTAGAGAGCTGGGGAAAGTCTTTGCTTTCCTGATAAAAGAGAAACTGTTCCTTTCTCCCCACCTTCTCCTTCCTGCCTTGAACTTGGATGTAATGCCTGGAGGTGTAGTAGCTGTTTCCGACTATGAGACAAATGAAGACCTACGGGGATCCTAGGCCTTGGATGGCATTTTGAGCAGCTGTGTTAGCCACTGACCTTTAACTTCCTGAGTTCTTGTTACGTAAGAAAAATAAATGGTGTAAGTCCGTTTGTCATTCCTCGCAGTGGCTTCATTCTTCACCGGCATAGCCTCTGGGTCTTTTTCCTGACTTGAAGGGAGACACATACAGTTTTTCCCTGCAGATGGTCCCAACGTATAATTGTTTGACTTAGTTTTTTGATTTAACGATGTTGTGAAAGTGATACACATTCAGTGGAAACCATTCTAATTTTCAATTTGGAACTTCCCCAGGCTAGAGAGATGCAGTATGATGCTCTCTCGTGCTGCTGGGCAGCGCGTCGCAGCGAGCTGCAGTCCCATGATCTCGGGGTTGAGCAGCCATGCACCTACAGCCTTTAGGGGCCCACACAGCCCTTCTGCTGTTCACGTTCCATGCAGCAGCAATTTACACGAGGTATTCAACCCTTTATTGTAAAAATAAGTTTTGTGTTTGATGATTTTGTCCAACTAGGCTAATCTAAGTGTTCTGAGGACCTTTCAGGTGGGCTGCGCTAAGCTGTGATGTTCAGTATTAGTGGCATTAAGTGGGTTTTGACTTTGTTTTCAATTTATGATGGGTGTATTGGAATGTGACCCCCATTGTAGGTGGAGGAAGATGTGTATCAGGTGACACGTCAACCCTTGGCCATGACTGTTTATCACGTTAGTGAACTAAATGGGCCTTGTTTGAAAAGACTGAAAAAATTGGGACTGGGTGTTAATTTTACCAAACACCTCCTCGGCACACCTCAAAAGTGATTGAATGGTTTCCTTCCTTGGTGGAGATATAATTGGATTTATAAAAAGCTTTTCTAACATACCTGTCACTGGAATAAACTCCATTCTGCAAGGGCTCATCAAGGTTACTATGTGTGGACTCACTTTTCTAAAGCTTCGGGTGCGAGAAGCAGAATTGGCCAACAATGAGCCCAAGATTGCACTCTGGCTCTGCCCGGACATGAACCGCCTGTGACTGGGTGGCAGCCCCCTCCCAGCAGGAAGGGCCGCCCCAATGCAGTGGCTGGGCTCCATCGACAGGACTGTTCTCCCACTTGCTCAAAAAATAATAATAAATGAAGAGGGGTGGGGACCCTTCCCCAGAATATGGCATAGTGGCTGGGACAGGACCAGGGGAGACCCACCAGGAACCAGGGAGACGGACCAGACGCCTGCAATACCTAGATATTGGGTCAGGACTGACTTTTAACGTTGGGAGTTATTAAGATGACACTTACTTTTGATTAGTACAATAAGCAATTTCCACTTTGAACAATGAAATAATAGGGTCCTTAGCTCTTCCTATGGCCCATCTCCAGAACAACACTGTCTTTACTGTCTGGACCAAAGCTGTCACGTGACCAACACAAGCCTGGGACACACCCTGGCCGCACCCACGCGCCCTTCCGAGTCCGGGGCTGGGCAGCAAGCCTCCTTCCTTGCCAGTGTGCCTCCAGCTGGGTAGTGGCTGAGGGAGCCACAGGCAGAGGCTGCCAGGGTGGGTTGGGGTGCCCGCTCTGCCCCAGGTCCCTCCCGGCAGCAGGGGCAGAACTGGTGTCGGCAGCACCTGGCCCGGTCCAGAGGCCAGAACATCTGTGTGCTCAGTAGGATCCGGGTCAGGGCAAGGTCACTCGAGACCCGAGGCGGGGCCGGGGGCTGGGGTTGGGACTAGGGTGGGCTTTGTTTCATGCCATGAACAGCTGCTGGGAAAGGCTGCCTGGCCGAGGCCTGTGGGCACTGCGGCAGGTGGGAACTGCGCATGCATTTCCCTAAGTCCAGCAGGCCCTGCATTACCAACTTGAGGGGCACAGATGACCATCACAAAAGCCGACTGGCACCCTTTTCATATCCTAATTGGGTAAATTCTCTCCATAAAATTTTGAATTTCCAATTGAGTTGAGTCAGAGAAGTGTGTTTCCAGGTCAGTTTCCTCCCCGTGTAGAGTCGTTTTGGGGGTGGTTATGAGGTGTGCTGGGGGGGTCACCTCCTGCTGCTCGTGGTGGCGTGTCTCCCTGCAGGGAGTCCAATCAGCATTACCCGAATTAGGGCACATCCGTCGGCGATCGCTGCCTATTGGCTTTAGGGGCC